CTTCATCTGATGAACCCACTGTCTATACTCGTCACTCCGAAGAAACTGGTTCGATTCCCGACATGGGTACAATGCGTGAAGCCCATTTCTGGTGTCCCCCGCCGTGATATTGCTGGAAAACCATCCTCACTCATTCACCTATCTATACAAAGCAATACGATTGTGGCTTGTGTAAATTACATCTATATTGTCTTTTGTACACTACATTCTCTCACACCGTATAGGCTGTAATGTGGAATGGGAAAAAAGATGAAGATCAACATTTCAATCACTGGTTTGTCTGGTCCAGGATCGATTATTAAACACCGCCGTCATATAGTTGGAATATTGCTGAGTGCGGCGTTAAAAGGCAAACAAACAAACAAACAAACAAACAAAGAGACAAACAAACTGCGATCACGTGACATGAGAGTTTGGAAATGTAAAAATCTGAACGCACCTTATGCATATACAAGAACAAAGGAGGCGAAAAATACGTCTGAAAGTGTCGTCTTGGCAGTCATGAAATAAAGCAATGACATTAAGGTACGTAATATTATTGAATATTAACCGAACATTGATTTGGAAAAAAGGTAACCCTGCGTTAATATGGTATAATACGTACGCTATTCCGACATGGTCAGTTTAGTCGATTATATTTTTTCATATATATTTTTAACCAAGCAATGTCATTGTAATACACATACAGCCAAATAATGAATAAAGGATACGTCTATTTGCCATGAACAAAGTTGAACTGAGAGTAAATAGGTTGAAATAGAGGTGGTGCTGAGGTGAAATGGTGGAGATTGATGCACTTACTTCGCAACGTGCATGCACGTGTGTGGCTGCTTATACTAGTCCGGACTGATGCCGATTTTATAGTGCTAGCTCACTGAGATACCATGCCCAACTTAGACACAGTATACTGACCAGTCCTTGTTTAATCCCCTTAATGCTGACATCCAGGCATGGTAACAACAAGTACCATCTTTTAACGTCTTTTGGTATGACGCGGCCGGGGATCGATCCCTGGACCTTTGTTCCCGGCGGACGCTCTACCACTAGACCATGGAGGCGGTCAGCATAGCTGGAGGGTAGGGGTGTTGGTGGGGGAGGGGGATGGTTCTATTCTTACCGGGACATGTCTGTTGTGAAGAGTTCCCTTCTTAAAGCAGTCGTAACATTCTTTATCCAACCTACCAGACCCGGGGTAGAATAGGTCTTCAGCAACACATGCTTGCTGTAAAAGGCGACTATGCTTGTCGTAAGGGGCGACTAACGGGATCGGGTGGTGTTTAGGCGCGCTGACCTGGTGTGATTGCGTGGATCGATGCTCATGATATCAATCACTGGATTGTCTGGTCCTGACTCGATTGTTTTTACACAGGCCGCCGTCATACAGCTGGAATATTGCTGAGTGTGGCGTTAAACAACAAACAAACAAACAAATCGTCAACCAATCGAAAGTATCACAAATGTAATACCGCTAAAAGACATTTCTATCTATTTATACATAAAAGGGTAAATGGTCAGTAATCAATAATCAAAAGATATATGTATCATTAACGTAATAAAGGGGTGTAGCTGAAACTTCTCATGGTTTGTCGATTTTATTGTTGTTATCACCGTTCTGTCCATATATGTAAGAAAAAATAAAAAAGACTTTATTATATTTTTTAAAATTTAATAGTTAAATAGTCCACCACTAGTCCACGTTGAATGTAAATAGGACAGAGGAGGTTCATTAAAAGAAAACAAATTCAGCAAAGAGGGTTTGTGTATCCTGGCAGTCAGGCTGGTAAGGCTCATCATCAGCTCAGGGACCTAGCTCTCTCTTCACGCAGCCCAGACAGCGAATGGGACTTCTCCCAGGAAGCGCTGCCCAGTCGAACCCACCAAGAACCTTTCAGAGAATGTGAAGACTCCCCAACTCTGCAGCCTTCGACATTACCCAGATTGTCAGAAGGGCTGGTAGCAAACCCGGGTACCCTCCCAATGTCAGTCAACAGATTGGGAGGTACCAAACCTAAGGAACCGAGAAGATGGGGAGTCGGACAACTTGGTACTTGGGATGCAAGTGTAACATTTAGAAATCGAGGTCCACATATTTGCCATGTTTGTCCTGAAGCTTGTCAATCACTTTAGTGTCAAAAGAGACAGATGATTTCATTGGATTTATGAAAAAGGACAAGATCAGGTTTTGAGGGCCTGGATAGGCCTAAGGCCAATTCCAAAGAATTTTGTGTTTATCATTTTCCATGACGCACATATTCTGGGTGTAGCAAGGCGAAGACGGTAATAAAATGATAGTACCACAGCATCATGTCGCTAAAGATACTGTGTTTGTGCCAAAGCTGGGCATCCACTGGCAATGTGTTGGACAGTCTTATTAAATTCATTGCCTAATCATGACAAAAATAACTTTCACAAAAAAATGGTCACTTAAATTCTCAGCATTTGATTCTCAGCTCTCTGTTTGTACATGCTATGGTTGAGTCTGTTTCTGTCCCTCTGAATACACTGTACTGTGGTCATTCAACCTCACTTTGATAAACTGAATCTGGGCCGAATTGATATGGCACTTCCCTTTGTTGACACTCATTTCTGTACCTACATTTCATGTCCTACATCCTTGGCTCATTTAAGAAAACTGTGGAATGCCTTGTTTTCATCATGGGTCCTGACATGCTTCACAAGAGGATCATCATACAAATAAATGTGTGCAAAAGTGCACAATACAATTACTACTACTACTACTACTAGTAGTAGTAGTAGAAATAGTAGTAGTAGTAGTAGTAATAGTAGTTTGTTCGAAGTTATGTGTGCAAATGTGCACAGTACAATTCTATCACGGAACCACGCCCTCCCATCATGATTACCTCCTTTTCACCATCAGTCTTGACATGCTTCATAAGAAGTAGTAGTAGTAGTAGTAATAGCAGTAGTAGTAGTAGTAGTTAGTAATAGGTGTAGTAGTAGTAGTTTGTTCGAAGTTACAATTTTCCGATAGAACTAACGTGATCACGACAAATGGATAGCTTTGAATTAATCATATTTTCATTTCAAAACACAAGCGCCTCGCGAGCAGCAAGCACCGTCTAGCAGTAGAGAACCATCAACAATATTAACATTGAGATTATGTCTCTCGTCATTATTATTACTATCATTGTACTACTAATTGATTATCTTGTATTTCCCCGATAGCCTTTGTTATGCGTGAAAAGAGTGAGTTGAACCAAACTCACTCGAGTTGAGGCCCTAGTAAATTGTGAGTGAGTGAGTTTGGTTACGCTGAAAAGAACATCAGTTATATCACTGAGGAGCCGTGAAGATCCGGGGTACTATAGGTCTTCAGCAACCCATGCTTGCTGTAAAAGCCGACTATGCTTGTCGTAAGAGGCGACGAACTGGATCGGGTGGTCAGGCTCGCTGACGTGGTTGATGCATGTCATCGTTTCCCAATTGCGTGGATCGATGTTAATGATGTCAATCACTGGATTTTCTGGTCCAGACTCGATTACTCGATTACTTACAGACCGCCATCATATAGCTGGAATATTGCTGAGTGCGGCGTTGAACAACAAATAAACTACTATATCACTGAGTGTCAGCTTGATGTAGGAGGAAAGCCCGAAGTGATACACAACCCTCCATAACACTTTCTGCAAGCGACACAAGACCAATATTTACTGTCAGCATAACTGGCTCAAACCCGGTGTATGTAAGGACGTCTCGTATATCTCTAAATCTCTAAGGAATCAGGATGGAATCTTGAAATATTGAACAGGAAGGCATGTATAGTAGGGTGGATTCATCCCGCAGACGACACCCATCCCGTGTCAGCATTCCCAACCTTGGATCAGAAGGTCGTGGTTCGAATCCCATCCCAGAAATCGGATATTGTATGACCGCTACATTAGCGCCTAACGTAGGGGCTGAGGACGTTCACATTAAATATCAGCAAATCGCGGCCCAAACGTGTCTTCTGTTACGAAGGGCTGGCAAGCTTAACCTCTGTTCATGTGGACCTCGGATCAGACGGTCCGTGGTCTGAATCCCATTATGGGGATTGGAAATTTTATAGCTGCCCAGAAGCAAATTGTGATGATTTGACAAGGTGCAAGTGGATATGTCTCATTCTTACGTAGGAGCTTAAAACTTAAACAATGGTCTCATATATTTATATTGGAAGAAACAAGGCTTTTAAATGCGGATTAAAGTGAAAATGATTCACGATTTTGTACAAGACATTATATATAATTTAAAAGACATCTTGTGATCCATTGTTTAGGCTCCAAGCCATAACGTTATATACATAAAAGACATAATAGTTGTAGATATAGAGACACACTATTTCAGTGGTCAAGTTTATTAATCGTCACACACAGACAATTTCTGTCACTGGGAAACAGGTAGGTGATGAACTTTAACTGAGATTTTACGACAGCTTCTTCACCACAGAAAGGTATTCACGACGTGCCGTGTTTAATATTATTACCAACGTCCCACGTTTCCGGTACTATGACAGGCACTCAACCAGGTCACCTTTGTCCACTCAGTCGCTTCACACAACCTTCACCTCTAATTTCACACATTCTACAACGGCAATACTTGGAATGGTCACCGAACTTTACCACCTCATCCACTCCGTCGCTTCATACCACATTCACCTCCACTTTGACACATTCTACAATGGCAATACTTAGAATGGTAATCTTTCCAAGCATGTTGAGTCCAGTTTCATGTATAACTTGTTTCAAGATAGGTTTCCCGTAAGTTGTTCAGATTGTATTTGAAGAAAATGTAATATATGAGAAATACTGTGTTCAGAATACTGCGGATCAGAACACCAAATGTGAAACTATTCAAGTCTGAAATCAGTGTATATCGCAGGTCTAACCTGAAGTTAGTAAGAAGGTATAACGACGTTAGTGAATGTACATGGATACGCATCATGACTGTACAGTTTGATACATACTGGTTCTGGATAGAAGCAAAAGAAAACAGGATGCCAGGCATTAGTTACACAATTTAATTACTTCACTTTGAAATCTCACAAATGAAGTTGTGCTTATGGCTGCAGGTGGCGTCATTCCAGCGATACCCGACTGCGTCCCAAATGACGAGACAATCCTCACCCCCCTTGTAGTTATCTGGTTGACCCGATCCCCAGTTCTGGTATCCACCAGCAAAAGGTCTGCCTCCTTCCCAGACGAACCTGCCCTCGCGAGCCAGGTCACTCCCTCCAATGAAGTAAGCGGAAGTTTAAATGCAAAAGGCAAAGTTTAGAAGTGAAACATAGCCTCAAAAATTGATCGATTGTTTGTCAAAAAAGTCTTTCAATTATTGTTTTTCAAAAAGTGTCACCTCTCTATGTAAAGAGTCCAAACTGCCTTACCTACCTATCCAAAACTCTTAGGCTTTCAGTGCACTTATGCCTTTACAAACCTTTTCCCCTTGCATATCCCCTGATGAAGTCATCCTCCGCTCGACTGTTGATGATGACGAGCCGAGCTCCGAAAAACTGACAGACTGACTGCAAAACGAATGGTATCGGGATGAACAGTAGAACATCAACCGTCTATTGACGTGCTGAGATTTTAAGATGTCAATCCACTGGATTTCCGTTCTCGATAATGTTTTTTTTATTATTCGTGTTGTTGCTGTGATCGGATTTGATGGAATAAACGGTTGATTGATTGATTAGCACCATGATACACCAACCGATCTCAAGCACTACCACTCCGAATGTCTTTGTTTGCTCCCTCCTTGTCAGTTCTGTTAATACTGTTAATAGCCCTGTACATTTATCTTATCGCGTTTATTCACAGCATGCCCAATACGTGCAATGAGCAATACAGTTCTGTACACCGCTCAGTTCAGTCGCAATTTGCAAAGGTCTTGTGGCTATGGCATGCACTATTGCATCTAAAGCCCGATTTCAATCAGGAGAACCTGTTTGTCAAGCAGTTGCTTCTGCATTCTGCACGACTTCACGTATAGATAATGTTGTTTGAGGGACATTTTTATATTCAACCATTCACCTGATAAAGGGGTGAGAAGGGAGATCCGAAACATCGATACAAACAATAAAACGGTTGTTTTCATAATACGCTTAATGCTTTTGATATTTAACTATTTCATATTAATCATATTTGAGCTGAAGACTCAGCACTGGTTACTTACCCTTGCTTCAGCAAAAGTTCCTGTCATGTCAGAGAACCAGTAGCAGGAACGTCCATGGGAATGAAACCCTGGTACACACCTTGAACCTTCAACATTTAAACAAACATATTGATATATGTCATTGGAATCAGTTAGTTTTTGATGCACCATGTAACGGAAATATAGGATAAAGACCGGATTAAGGACTAATTTGGAATTGGGTGTTGGCAAATAAAGAATCACCAGTGCAACACAGTGGCGATGTTGCACCGTAGATCTTCTAGCAGTTCAAAACAGGGAAAAAAGTAGTTCATGTCAATATTCCTAATCTACTCATGTTCGGTATCAAAAGTACAATATACCGATATCCAGAAGGTACAGATTTATGCCTGGGCTATGTACGTGTACTTTCAAATGATATGACACTCAGTTAACGTATGCCTCTTGCAAAGGAATTTCAGGGGGTTCCAATCAACGTTCCTAATATGAAAACACTAAACCTTCACTTTCAACAATAAATCATAGTACAGTAAACTACGGTTATAACGAACTCAAATGGACTACTCAGTTTTGTTCGTTTATAAGCATACATAAACCATCTGTACAGCAAATGGCGGGGACCAAAAGTTAAGTTCGTAATATCCATCAGTTCGTTATAAGCGTGTTCGTGATAAGCGTATTTTACTGTATTGTAATCCTGCAATGATTTGATTATTTTGAAACGGATGCAAATGTTACGAAGGTATTGTAGCGAGCATCAGTCCATGTGAAGAGTGCTCCTGACATATGCCAATGAGTCATGTTGAACGAGACGGTTCAGAGACAAGTTTACAAGTCAGTGGCAGGGCAGGCCTGACAACTTCTCCTCACTGAGGCAAAGAAACGCCCGATGAATGGTAGTCCATATCTGAGGAGGGATAAACCTGATTTCCTGCAACATCATTTGAGGATGAGAATGACATCGGAACATCATTCCATTTCATCCCAGCATGTTTGAATGATGAGGTGATCTTGCAAGCATTCTGGTATTTCGCAACATTCAAATTCCCATCAATCACAACACTTTGACTGTACCGTGTACCCGTTGATTCACCTCAGATCATAAAGCCACCACATTCAAACCATCGCTTTCAAGAAGGCACGGCGTGCCATAACGTTCCCCCTGGATGCCTGAAGACAGGTGTTCTGCTATCGAATCGGTGAACAAGTAAACGTGACACATCAGTGACAAAGGCCACATATCTGAATCACTGGAGACGTCGACCTTGATTAGTATTAGCCTTTTGGCTGGGCGTCTCTCACGGATGCCGTAGGTGTGTCAGTGTCTGCGGACCACCCTCGCAGAAACGGCGCTTCTACACGGGCTGTGAGCCATGCTGTCTGTAACCTGTGTCGACGATATCTTGGCAAGGGGTTGTCGCGGGTGGGCGGACACTACGGGGACCGTCTCTGGCGTGGTTGTTAATACGGGGGCTGCAGAAAATGTTCTAAGCCTGACTAACTTTCAACTATGGGCCATTACAAAGTGAACTAGTCAATGTAGTACATTTTGTAGTAGTTCATTTCAAGTTTGTTTGGTCTGTTGAGTCCGTTTGTATATTAGTGACAGCCAGTGGATTGTGATAGGGGTCTAATGGATACAGAAATGGAAAAGAGCAAGTACCAAGGAGTCATCAAGTTTATGACTTTAGAGAAATGTACTCCCCATGAAATTCATGGCACAAGAGTAAGTGCCCTAGTAATTCCACTGTTAAACTTTGTTGATCCATGTTCAAGGTTGTGAGAACAAGCCTTGATGATAACCCTAGGTCTGGTCGTTCCTCAACTCCCACCAATGAAGATTCAATCAAGGAGATAGAAAAACCTATACTGTCAGATATTACCATTGCTGAACTTGAAGAGGACACAGGTCTAAGGAATGGATCCATTTACACTGTTTTTAAACATTTACAGGTGGATAAAATATCTGCTCGTTTAGTGCCAAAGTTTCTTAATTATAATCTTAATGAAAAAAGAACTGACATTGCTAGAGAAAATTTCGCGCTAAATTGAGAAGGATTTTGTCAAATTCAAAAAGAGATTAGTAACGGGTGATGAAAAATGGGTCCACCACTATGATCCCAAGTCAAATAGTCAATCAATGGAATGACACCATTTCACTTTTCAGCACAAAAAGTCTTCAAGATCAGTACAGAAATTCATGGCCACTGTTTTCTGGGTTTCAAAGAGTGTGATCCTTTGAAAGTCCAAAGACGATAACTAGTGCCTACTATGCTGATTTGCTTCATCGCATGAGAAATTCTATCAAAGAAAGGTGGCGAGGAATTCTGACTTCTGGAGTTCTACTACTTCATGACAACGCCTATTCTCACATCTCTCGACTTGCAAGGTTGCTGTGCGACAATGTGGGTTCCAAGAGCCTCCTAACCCTCCATACTCGCCCGACCTGCCACCAAGTGATTTCCGCTTGTTTCCTAAACTGAAAGATCACCTTTGTGGAAAGCGCAATGACGACAACGATGACCTTAAAGCTTCCGTGAACGGGTTTTGCAGGGTGGCTTCAGAAAACTTCTTCCTCACTGGAATCGAAAACCTTCACTATCGATATGAGATGTGTATTGAAAAGCAGCGATGTTATGTTGAAAAATAAAATTAAAAACACTTTCCCAACTGTTGGTTTTGTTTGTTAGGCTTAGAACTTTTTGACCAGCCCTCGTCGCGTCACCATAAGTGTCATATGGCCTGGACGTTAAATTGGCGTGTGACGTCACACTGAAGCATACCAGAGGCTCGCCATCTGTCATTTTCACATTGCATAATGAAGTAGCATCAAAACGATCAAAAGTAGTATTTTTTTGCAACTCTCAACTACCCTGAAAATTGCATGCAGTGGCAACGATACGGGATTTGATACCTCCTATAGAGCTATAATTGAGTCCTGAATTGGATTAGGTCCGAGATAAAACGAAGCGCAACATCGCATGTCGTCAAATATTGTAGACGCTGTCTGCACCACTGTAGCTGTGCTTGACGGTGGTTTCCTGTCAAAATGGGACGTCTGTGTTTTCTGGCGACAATCCCTGCACATCTGAAGCGACGACGTACGTTTGTGAAGATATTCGTCGAAGGCCAGGGATGCTTCTTTCAGTCACTGTTGCTGGCTGAAATCGATTTCTTAGGTGTGTAGTTCGAATCCAGTTGTCTTGTCGATTGTTGGTTACGCGTGGCCTGCCACTCAGAGGATGGTCTCTGACTGCATTCGTCTGTTGCCAACGTTGCCATAAACACCAAATGGTGTTTCTGTGGACGTTAAATTGTCTTGCAACATCACGTTGACTCGATCCTGCTTCAAGCATACCAATGGCTCGCAGACGCTCATTTTTGGACTGGGGTGGCATTTCGTAATGTTGAATAATTGCGTAATTTTGTTGTTTTTCTGAGTGGTTGTTGTCAGCACGATGCTAAACAATGCATATGGAATCTCGTTAACGCACATGTTTTATACCCATTCTTGGGTAGTGAAATGCATGGGGCTTGCATAAAAGCTAACCTTTGCATGGAATGCATGCTTTTCTGTAGCAGTTGCGTTTTTTTGTGACTTGATTTCATACATGTACTACAATATTGAAAACCAAACTTTACTTGTTTGAAAATACACTAAAATATTGGTGTCACGGGAACTTTTGTTGTTGAGTATAGATATGTGAAGTATTGCCAATTTGAGGAAGGTCGCAATTCTGCTGTAATATAACCTTCACTTAATTAAAAGCATTTATTGGGGAGATATTGTATATTTTAATGTATGGACAATCATGTCAGGTGTAGATGGCACACACAACCTGGCATCAGATTCACGAAGGTATTTAGATGAAACACGTTTCCTTGAAATAAATGGCATTCCGCCATGAGAGTCATAGGTACAAAACAGTTTAAACCAATACTTCAATGGTCCATTATGTGACGCTAAATCAGCATAATATTGCTGTGAAATAGCTTCCTTCTGCATTTTGTACACCATTTTCACTGGTGACTGTAACTTGAAAACGTTACGAGACAATTTCCCTTTCAATGCTAAAGCATTCCAAACGTGCGGTGTGAA